TCAGGACTCCTATATAAAATCAAAACAACTTTTCCAAACTACTTCAATATCTTAAGCTCATATTTGCTTAATAGAAAATTTAGAATCAAAATTAAAGATGTGACTTCGAGCATCAGAAATATAGAATGCGGGGTACCACAGGGCAGTGTGCTAAGCCCTGTACTTTATCTTCTTTTCACAAACGATATGCCCACAGATGATCTTCTAACCATATGCACTTACGCCGATGACATAGCAATTATTTCATGCAATTCCGATATTAGAACAGCAACTTGTCAGTTACAAAATTATTTATCTAGTCTCGAAAAATGGTTTTTAGATTGGAATATCAAAATCAATATCGAAAAATCTCAGCACATAATTGTTTCTCTAAAACATCACAACAGTCCACCTATCATCATGAACAATTCAATAATTCCACTATGCAATTCTGTTAAATATTTAGGCATGCACATTGATTCGAAATTGACATGGAGAACGCACATTGAATATAAAAAGAAACAAATCCAACTGAAAATAAAAGATTTTTACTGGCTTTTTGGGAGGAAATCTGAAATCTCTCTCGATAACAAGGTACTTTTGTATAAAACTATCATAGTGCCCATTTGGACTTATGGAATCGAACTATGGGGTTGCTCATGCAAATCTAACATAAATATCATTCAAAGGTGCCAGAATAAAATTCTGCGTATCCTTACTAATGCGCCTTGGTATATTTCGAATTTTTGCCTACATAAGGATTTGAAAATCTCAACAGTCAACAAATGATCAAGATTAGAAGTTCATCTTTCAACAATAAATTAATCCAGCATACAAATCCTACAATTCAAGCGATTCAGAGACCGATAAGAAGATTGAGCAAGAAATGGCCTTCCGATCTACCAAACTCCTAGCCCAATGTCTGCACGCGTCCTGACGTAGTACGCGGCATACATCATCACGTCATCGTTCATTTATGTTATTATTTTTGTATTACTGTTTTAATTTAATTTTTATTTTAACTTTTTTCATTTTATATTCAATGTATTGCATTTTTTGTTTTTTTGTATTTTTTTTTGCTCATATCAATTTTGTAAATAAGACATTAAAGTCTTGATTAACAAAAATAAATTGTAACAAAAAAAAAAAAAAAAAAAAAAAAATTCAAATTCGACACTTCATTCTCGCAAAAACTGAATTACCATTTTTGGCACTTTTTGTCCCGTATCTCCGAAACAGCCAAACCTGCCTTTTCCAAAAACTAATCAGCACGAAATATAATATCAATAGAAATCGAATGTTTTCTGAATCATTCAAATCGATTGATCCATATTCTTAAAATCGTCGACAAAAAAATGTATCCGCACTTACATACACACATACACAGATACATCCATTTTTTCTAATAATAAGGTATGCCAAAATGTTCAAAAGACTTTAAAACGTAAAGATAAATAAAAATGTTCATTTTTTATTTTTTTGCTATTGCTATAACGCACTTTAAGGGTAGTTAATTGTTTTTTAACTATATTTTGAGAAAAAAATTAAACAAAATAAAAATATAAACCAATTATAACCCTTCACATCATGTTTGAATTATAAAATAAAATGTAGTCCCCATGCAGATTTTTTAAAAAAATTACTAATTAATTTCCTAACCCAATGTATACAAAGCCAATTAATTTTGTAATTATTATTATAATTTCTGTAATATTGATAAATGATGAAGATAAGGCTATTTTATATTGGAAATATATTGCTAGCTATATTTCTAAGAGAAATTCGATGTTAATGCTGCTTGACAGCAGGTTGTCCAAGGCGGGTAAGGAATTTTAAACCTCTAATTCAAAGTCCATAACGATACTATTTTATATGTTTTAAGATTATCCATATATTATGGCATTTTATACAATTTTTATTGTCCTTAAAAAATAATCCGGGTTCGATATTCATCTTGGCCAGCTTAATACTAAGCAGTAGTAATATGAACCAATTATAAACCTTTATTTTGCATTATAAGATAAAATACAGTCCCCTTGCAGATTTTTTTTAAAAAGTAGCAATTAATTCGCTAACACAATGTATTCAAAGTCAATAAATTTTATAATTATTATTATACAATTTCTGTAATATTGATAAATAATGAAGATAATGCTATTTTCTATTGGATATATTTATATATTATATAGCTATATTTTCAAGTAAGAACCGATATTAATGCTGCATCAGAACATACACTTCCGAAGAAAACTCGAATGAATTGTAGAAAATATTATTGGTGAACAACAATAAATAAAGCTCACGTGCCAGATACAAAAAAGAAATAAAAATTGTTTAATAAGTAAAAATTATAAAAATGAATTGAATTATTTATTAAACCAACAAGACACTTTAGTTTTAAAACTAAATAATCATTAATATAATATTTTTAAATTGAATTCTATAAACAAATATGACAACAATTTAAAAATATGAATGGTGACGATATGACTAGTTTGCACAATGATTAAATTAATTTTTCTTAAAAACGGACCATATCACTTTCAAAGCAAATGATTCATTTATCGTGTGAAGCCAAAATGTTTACCAATTGATAAACTATTTAAAATAGCACAAACATTTGATAACGTTATCGTAGACAAAATTCGGGTGAATTTATCTCATGGAAGACTTTGCGCTTGTTAAAAATTTATTCATTGATAACAAGGGATGAATGTTTGCACCTCTTGTTTAGTTAAGAACCACACTTAGATTCTTGATAAATTTTAGGAAAAATAAGAAAATGATAAGAAAAAAATCTTATGAAATATATTGCGATAGTTTAAAAATTAAAATTTAAGACTAAAAAAATAAAGTTCAGTGTTGTGCATTTAATTAAACTAACGTACAACGTAAGAATAAGAATAGGCTAAAATCTTATATTATCCTTAAGGTAAGTTATTGCAAACGTCCAAAAATCGACAATGAAAATTTTTGTATATCTTCAGAAAAATAGATGTATGTATGTAAGTATGTTTTTTTTTTTTTTTTTTTTTTTTTTTGTATAGCGAAGGAAATGCTTTTATGCATCCCAGACCGGTCTTCTGTCTGGGTATGTCGGACTCGATACCGCCCTGGTATAATACCGACTAAAACCTCCGCTTTGCCCCTGCCTCTGGTCCCCACGGAAACCGCCGCTAGGCATTACTTCGTGGGGGGAGGATCTAGAATGTTACAATTCTTAACTTGTTATAAACAATGTTATAAATCATAAACATTTTACTTATCTTTTAAATGGGCGAAGTCCCATTCGCCCTTTCTCTCTCTATAGAACGCAGGTCCATTAAAACGTCTCTCGCAAATCTGTCTATGGCGTTCCAAGCAGCTTCACTTGTCAGCATCACTTCAACAACATTACCTGGGGTAATTGTGCGTCTCAATGTCTCCTCCACATCATCCCGTAGAGCACCAAATCGCGGGCACACGAAGAACACGTGCTCAGCATCTTCGATTTCGCCCAAACAATATGGGCAATCCGGCGAGCTATCGTGCTTGAATCGGTGTAGGTAGGCTCGAAAACAGCCATGCCCCGATAGCATTTGCGTAGTATAATAGTTTACTTCGCCGTGCTTGCGACTTAGCCAGACTTTGATGTTAGGAATGAGACGATGCGTCCATCTGCCCTTTACAGCGACATCCCACAGTCGCTGCCATCGGTCAATGCTGTTCTGCCGTTCTTCTAATCTTAACTTTTCAGTACACAGTTGTTGATGTCTTCTATGGTAAATTGTCCGTCTTTCCTCTGCTAAGACTAAGAGAGGCACAGTTCCTGAAATGACGCACACTGCTTCCGCCGATATTGTGCGAAATGCGCAAGCAATTCTTATAGCACTGAGACGGTATAAGGGCCCTGCCATTCTCCTCGATTTTGAGATTTAAGAGCATCACCCCATATGGAGATACCATATGTCAGCACTGAAGTAATAACTGACGATAGTAATATCCTTCTGGTTTGTTTAGGACCTTCAATATTAGGCATCAGTCGAGCAAGTTTCGTCCTAACTATTGACGCCTTAGCACTAACGTGTTCCACCTGTTGATTGAAATTCAAACGAGCATCAAGCATTACGCCAAGGTAACAGATGTGAGGTTTTGACGTGATCTCAAGATTTCCTATCTTTAGCTTGATGGTCTCAATTCTTTTCCTACTAGTGATAAGAACAGCTTCACTTTTTGTTGTGCTAATTGGAGATTCATTGTTCCCATCCACCGATTAATTTTTCTGAATGTAATATCGAATAGGCTTACGATGTCATCAATTTGTTTGGAGACAACCACTATGGCAACATCGTCTGCATATGCTACTAGTTTCACACATTCTGGAAACTCTAGTCTCAAAAGGCCATCATACATAATATTCCACAGCAAAGGGCCTAGAACAGAGCCCTGCGGCACACCTCCTGTTATATTATATTCTTCTGTACCATCGCGTGAATGGTACATTAGAATTCTGTCTGTAAAGTAGCTTGCGACTATATTGCATAGGTATGCTGGCACGTTCTTGTCACGGAGTGCATTCATAATGCAATCCCAGTTTGCAGAATTAAAAGCATTTTTTATATCCAATGTAGCTACAAGGCAGTACTTTTTGGAACCCCCCTTCCATCTGGTTCCAGCAATTGCCTCCTTGGCGGTATTAACTACCAAGTTTATAGCATCGATAGTTGATCGCCCTTTGCGAAAACCATACTGATTGTTTGCTAGGATTGGATCAACTACTGCATCTATTCTTTGGTGAATTATTCTTTCAAAAATTTTACCCGCTGTATCCAGCATGCATATTGGACGATAGGATGATGGTTCATCTGGTGGTTTTTTTCCTTTGGGAATAAGCACTAGTCTTTGCTGTTTCCATTTTCGTGGAAAAACCCCTTCTTTCAGGCATGTATTATATGCATTAAGAAACATTGTCGGAGATGTCATAATTGATGTTTTCAAGGCAATATTAGGAATTCCATCTAATCCCGGTGCCTTGCTACTACCAACGCGATGACAAGCTTCCATCAGTTCTTGCAGTGTTATAAGTGGAATATTATTCTGTTCTACATGTGTTACCTGGTAGTTCAAATTAGGTTGTCGTGGAAACAAAGTAGTTACTATTTTATTCAATAGTCGTGGGCAAGTTGGTGAAGGTATTGGCTGGCTTTTGAGGCGAGACATTACAGTCTTATAAGGTCTTCCCCATGGATTTTCCTCGACTTCATCCAAAAGTTCTTTCCAGCACCTAACTTTACTATCTTTGATAGCTTTATTTAGTTGTCTACGTGCTTGTTTATATTCCACTACCAGTTGTGCAGAATTACTGAGACTAAATCCACGCTGAGAGATCCTTCTTTTCTTTAGGCACTCTTTACGAAGAGAGCTGATTTCTTCAGTCCACCAGTGCACAGATTGTCTTTGATTTATGCCATGTTTACGAGTCATACTGATATCACAGGCTTCGGTTATTCTCTCCATCAGCTCTCTAGTATGCTCATCTGCGTGTTCTGAAATTATAGGTTTGCAATTTAAGGCAACTCTCATGGCGCTTTCATCAAAAGATTTTATTTTCCACCCAATGGCTTTAGATATTTTCGCATGTCTTCTAATGTTTCTATCTGTTGATATTTCCCAGATGATTGCATTGTAAGTAAGTATGTGTGTATGTATGTGTGTGTGTGTGAGCGTAAGTACGGATACAATTTTTCGTCGAAGTTTTTGGCAAAAGTCGGTTCAACCGTTTCGGAGATATGAAGCAAAAAGTGCAGAAAAGGAAAATTGAGTTTTTGAGAGAGTAGAGCATCCGATTTGAATGATTCAAAAAAACATGCAATTTTTAATGATGAGAAGACGTGGTGATCCAGTTTTGTTGATTTACGTCGTCATCCAATTTATAAGCTCTTATATTTTATCATTCCAAAAAGAATAATGAAACTTACAGGATTTATAATAATATAATTGAAAACATTTAATATTCTTGGAATAATTCATTACCGTGCAGGAAGTTCCAGCAATTTGCCTTCAGGCACGATGCCATACACCACTAGTTTTATCTTATCTTATATTAAAATAGAATAATATTTTATCAATCAAGCTTTCCTCTTGCTATGGAAAACTTCAATTAAAATTGCTACCGATGGAAAATACATATTAAAATGCTCAAATAGTGCTTTAAAATAAAATTATTATAATAGAAAAATCTTTTACACCACATTTCAATTAAAAACGCTTTACTCTCAGAAGACTTTTGCATCAATAAATATAATTACAAAAGGATCAAATACATACTAACGTTCGCAAATCTCTATCCAACAATATTATTTTAATGAAAAAAATAAAGTAGTTTGAGAATCGTTTCTTCATCGTTCCAAATTTCTATAAAAATACTTTTAGAACCCTAGGGATCTCCTTATGCTGACATACTCATAAACGACAAGATGCACATGCTCTTCAAGTTATTTCAAAAAAAACAATTCTACTGGGATGACAGCAAGAAGAGGATAAAATATAATCAAGCATTATAAAAATTAGCTGTGTCCTGCTCATTCCGACAGCCCTTCGCTTACCTAAGGACACTACTTCGGTACAGGCTTGTATAAATATTGGAGTAATAAACATTTTTATTTGGACTATAAATTAGTGGCCGAGAGTCATGCTGTTACGTGAGGTTCTGGAATACCAGGATCGTAGTTTACTACCTAAATAAAAATAATCAGTTATAGATTTTACTGATTTATTTTGCTGTTTATGCATTAAAAATATATTAGATTAAAAAAGTTTAAATAATTAAATTAAAACACATAATGTGAGACGTTTATAGACTTTATTGGTCACAAACACAGGCATTAGCTATGAGATTATCTTCGACAATATACTTTTTTCTATTTTAGCAGCAAATATTTTTGTTGCAAAATACATTTGAAAAAATAAAAAAAAAATGTTGAAATAAATCAGATTTTAAATAAACTTGCTAATGTTACTACTATACATCATCGTGTATAATCGAAGTTATTTGTAGAGCTACGAGCTATGAACTACGAGCTACGAGCTACGAGCTTCGAGCTACAAACTACGAGCTACGAACTATGAGCTACAAACTACTAGCTACGAGCTACGAACTCCTAATATCGATAAATTGACTGGACTTCAATTATATTAAAAAATTTATACTTGGTAAATAAATAAGCATTTTTGATCAACGGTTTAGTTAAAAATGAAAAATGGTTCGAAAGATATTTTATAGGAATTGTGTTGGTTAGTTGGTAAAGATCGACAAATCATTTTATTCCTAATTGTTTAAATTTTTTACGATATTAATGAAACTTTTTGTATCAAAATTTGAACTCTCTACTGTAACAACTTTGAAAGATGCAAAATTTCATTGGGTATTGTTTAAGTCTATTATTTACCAAATTGGGAATTTTTGCAACGTCCTTAAGGCAAAATACAACTCACCTACACTATAATCATTATTTGATGTGGTTATATGTATAAAATTTTATAATAATTTACCAAATGTATTAGGTTTGCAGCTTTCCTAATAATTATGAATGTTTATTTTTTTATGCATGTTAAATTATTTAATTATTCAAATTTAAAATTAATTTGATGCTGTAAGTTCAGCATATCAGTATCTTGGTTCTAAAATGAGTTACTTACAATTAGACAAAATTATTTTCTTATATTTTACTTTTCTATAAAAAAACTTACAATAATGGGTAGTATTGCCCTAAGGCAGGTCCGTAAGCTGAGTTAAACTCCAACTCGATTCATGAAAGAATAGTGTGAAAGATTTCCTATTGTCATTTCACACAGTAGTGCCCAAAATAGGCTATTTTCAATTCGAAACAAATTTTTTGTCTATATTTTCAAGTCAAAATTGATATCACTACTGCATGATATCAAGTTATCTAAACTGGGGATTCGAACTCACGACCACACAAGGCAGTGGGCATAACCGTTACGCCATGAAACACCTACAACTTAGTGGGCGTCCATTAATCACGTGATCGACTTTTTAAAGATTTTTGGACGCCCCCTCGCCCTTGGTGGTACATGGTGATATTCAAAATTACCCCCCCCAGTTACTATTTTTTTTAAAATGTTTGATTTTTTTTTAATCAGGTAAAAAAAAATAAATACACGTGATACATCAATATACCCCTCCCTCCCCACGTGATATTTCGTTATTTTTTGTCAACCCCCCCCCCTTACATACCTTCTAAAATTATTTTAAGTAGTTCTGATTGCCGTTCAAGCAAATACAAAACTAGTGGTGAATGGCACCATGTCTTGTGGCAAATTGCTGGAACTTCCCGTTCCGTAATGGAATATTCGAAGAATATAAAATGTCTTCAAATATATTAGGATAAGTACTGTAACTTTCATTATTGATATTTTATAGACAAAATAGAAGAGCTTATAAATTTGACGATGACATTTATGAAAAGTGAATTAACAAACCTTAATCAAGCGGAGTTAGAATGAAGGGCCTTATCTCATATTTCTAAGAATTATATAAACTGAATTGCAAAGTTTAAATTATATTTATGTCAAGTATATATATATATATATAAGTGAGCTGTGTAATTTTAGCTAAAATTAATATTCAAATCTGAATTATTTTCGATATTCTAAAAAAAAAATGAAAAGAAAAATTGAATCATTCAAATCGGATGCTTGGTTCTCTTCAAAAACTGACATTTTTTGTACATTTATCTCAGTATCTCCAAAACGTCTGGGGCAACTTTTGCCAAAAACTAATCAGCACGTCTCCTTCTAAATTTCATTACATTTGATTTGTATTAAACTGTAGCGACACTGCCAAACCCGCACGCGTAAACTCCATTCCAATTTCTTTTTCCCTCCACGAAAGTCATAAAACAACTTAAGGACAGGACAGGCCACTCCAAGGACTGAATAATCAATTTTGTCAATTTTTTATGTTTTTATTTTTACGCGTTCATATGTGTGTTCACATATGTGCTCAGTCAGAATAAGTTTTTTGTTTTCTTCCTTCAACGTTTTCACGTTGCGTCGAGTATGATTCGTTTTCGATTTGAATAATCGACGATACGAAGAATATGCCATGAGAAATATGTTAACAAGAGATCGGAAATTAGATATGATTTTTATTTAAAAACAAACACGATGGGACGATGGAGATATCAGATGACAAGAATTTCTTGGACGCGCGCAGATTGTCTTGTAACATTTTATGGTTACAAATAACTTTATAAGATCCAGTGAAAATTATAAAAGTGAACAATACAATTGTTAATTCATCTCAAATGGCTGTGAATTTATTAACTTTTCGTAGGGTAAGTTATAGTAATAGTCCAAAAATCGAAAATGAAAATTTTTGCATATCTTCACGTTTCAAGGGTTTCTGAACATTTTGGTAGACCTCAGAAAAAATGGATGTGTGGTTTGTATGTCCGCATTTTTTCGTCCGGTGCACGGATGAACCGAATTGAATGGTTTAAAAGACATTAGATTCCTATTGATAGGGAGATGTGCTGATTAGTTTTGGCAAAGGCAGGTCCAGACGTTACGGAGATACTGAGCAAAGAGTGCAGAAATTAGAAAGTTTTTGATAGAACTGAGTATCAGATTTGAAGGATTTAAAAAACATTCAATTTGTAATGATTGGGTGAAATGGTGATTAGTGTTTGGCCAAGGCAGGCCCAGCCATTTCGAAGATACAGAGCTAAATGTACAAAAAAATGCAGTTTTTGAGGAAACCGATTTGAATGATTTTTTAAAAAAATCTGCTTGCACTTTTGGAAAAAAAAATATTTCAAATTTTTTTTTTGTTGCATGTCGAAAATAATTCAGATTTTAATTTTAATTCTGACTAAAGTTCTAAAGCTCACTTATGTACTTTAAATGAATAATTTACACTTTGTGATTCAGTTTATATAATTCTTATAAATATTAGAAAATGTTACAGTATTTATAATCTATTTGAAAACATTTAATATTCCTGGAACATTTCGTTACGGCATGGCAAGTTCCGTAACACCACTAGTTTACTGTAAGTATAAATCTAAAAATTTTGGACACATCAATTATTTTTGGTATTTTGCATTAGTTACATTCAGCAATATATTGCTACATGTGATTTTAACTAAATGAATAGTCGATTAATATTATTTATTTTCGTGAATTTAATTTTGTTGTACGAGTATATCCCAATATTTTTTATAAAAATCAAAGTATGTCTTTCCCTTCTGAATTGCTAACTTTTGGGCCCATTCTGCCGTAAAATAGACCATATTTATAGCAAGGCTATGTTATGTAGCAATTTTCATACAAAATCGTACTAAAAGTTATGTGATAGACGTTTTAGATAGAAAACCTAACCTAAAAAACGCGCAATTATCAAAAAACAATGTTAAAATAACTGGATCTTTTTGATATGGTTCAATAGCATGTGAGTGAAGTTGCATTTTATGTGTAAAACGCCTGATCTACTACTACTGTCTACAATGACATTTTGACAGTATTTAGTACGATTCTGTATGAAAACTGCCACGTATCATAGCCTTGACATAACATTGGTCTATTTTACGGCAGAATCAACCCATAAATTTAATGGCGAAAGACATTTAATTTTTTTTTTAAATATTAGGATACACATACAACAAATTTAAATTCACCCAGATAATAAATATTGACTGGCTAGTGATCTGCGGAAATGTAAATTAATTAAGATTAGGTGGCATTACAACAGATTTGTTATCAGATAGATTGGCAGACTTTTATCAATTTGAAGTAGAAGTAACACTGGCTACATCTACAATTGTCAAATTATTTGTCATATGTAATCTAATAATATTACCTTCAAATTTACTAGATGTCGACTAAAGACAGTTGTAAATTATATGGTGAAATAAAAAACTAAATTTGTTTAAATTTTTTAAATCGGTGCAGTCGTTTTTAAGAAAACGTCGATAAAAGGTCAAATTTTGGTTCGCATATACACACATCCTTTTTCGAATTTTAAACTTAAAATTATTCTTAAAAAATTTCGAACATAAAATTGATAAGTCAGATTTTCTGGCAAAAACATTAACTTTTTCTTCGGAAAGTTAAATATGTATATGCGTTAAATATGTAAATGATTATATATAATCCATGTAAAGCTTTTGTAATTAAATATGTTAACAGGTTGTATGGAATTGGATACGACTTATGTTTGAAAGAAAATATTGTATGATCAGAATAAACAAATAACAAATATCAAATTACAAAATATGGGGAACGTTTGCGTTAAGCATATGTTAATAAAATAAAAATTGAGGAAGCTTTGTTATGAACTGGTTATTTTATATAAAACAAAAAAATGATAAGCAAAATCTGTAAAAATATTAATCTGATTTATCCGATTATAATATAAATAAAGTAATGAAGATCAACTGCAGAGGCAAATATGAAATATGATATATAAATTAAATTGTGCTGATTTTTAGACATAACTATGTACCTCATATTTAGCAAATGCCTTATACATTAATATTGGC